TAATAGATGAATGAAACTCAATAATAGCCCTTCTCCAACTTTCTCTTTTCTCCCTTTTTCTCCTTTCCTACGCGTCTTTCTCCTTCACTTTTGTTTATCCTACTACCTTTTAATTGTAAACTTAAAACATCTCATTCACTATTTTGTTTTTGTTACTACCTTTTATTTGTCGATTTAGAACAAAAGTTTGAAATATGTAGGGTGCCTTGTCTCCGTCGTTTTCTATACTTAACTACGGTGTGATCGTTAAAAGTTGTATATCAATTCAAAAATCTCTTTTTAACCGCACAAATCAATATAAAGTCTGTGTAATTTGAATTAAACGATTGAATGTGAATTTAGTTTGATTCTTGTTTCAAAAAAAGTAGATACTTTGTTGTGATATGGCCCCTCCAAACACAATAATTGATTTACGAACAAGAATCATTCACCTTTGACTTTGGATTTTGATTGAGTTTGGAGGTATGAGTAGTGGAGATGAGAGGCATTAGCATTAGGCATCATCCCCGGAATCTCCTTTACCTCTTATGGAATATATTAAAGTAAAGATAAAGGTGTTGAACCAAACTACGCCATTACCTCTCAACTAAAGGGGAAACCCACTTCAATAACTCTACTCATCTTTTCTCCTTCCTTTCTCTCTCTTTCTCTTCCTTTCTCTTTTTAACGTGTTTTTCAAACCTTCGCCCCACATTATGTTGAAAGTTGCTTAAGCTCTAACAATTTCTCCGACCTTTCTTAAAGTCGTTCTATCGATCAATAACAAATTCTTGAGCTACCTCGCTTGAAACTGTTGGGATTCACAGATCTCCACAATGGTACCTTAATCGAATTTTTAAAGACTCGAAACAAAGTACACAATTTGTTCAAAGCTTTTTTGTTCGACACTTTAGAATTCTTGATATCATGTTTGGAATTATAAGGAGAGTTTGGGTTATAACGAACCAAAATGCAAAGAAATGAATGGGGTTTGAAAGGAAAAAATTTGCTTTGTAAAATGAAATGATTGGATTTTGATTCCATTCAAAGATGGATGGAATTCGATCGCATTTAATCTCCTTTTTCTTCTCTTCTTTTGTTTCCCCTTTATTTCATTTCTTAACATGCATGCATGCCTTGTTAAATAAGTAAAATTTTGTGCAAATTAAACAAAATACCATAATTAAAAATAAATCTAAATCTTGCATAAGCCAACTTTGTTCTAAGTTTATTTACAAATGGGGAATGGGATTGAGATACAAATTCAAACAAAACATAAAGGACCCAAACTATACCGATAGGACTAATGCCTCGAGACATCTCCTCTATAATCTCGCTAGATTTTCTTTAGGCTTCAAGAATTTCAGACCAATTTCTATTGCTATTTGAGCTTTTGGAGAGGATTTAAAGTTTCGAGTGGTTCTCTTGTCCATTAGAAACTCAATCTGAGTTTGGTGGAGGTTGTTCACCAATTTTTAGCATCATGAGTCTACTGGATGACATATCTTAGCTCGGGGTGAATTAACTCTACTGTTCTCTTGACTTAGTCGACTTGCTATGTCAGAGCACTGAATGACCGGTATATTGGGTTGAGGCACTACCTCATAAAAGCTTATAGGACTGTATGGCACCTATTGGTATGGACATCATTTGTGGAAGGTTAACTGGCATACCCTTCCATAGAGCTATGGAGTTATTCTAAATTTGGGAGAGCGACCTTGTGAGCTTGCTGGCTACAAAGTTACTTACGTTGTCCCACACTCCTTAGGACGAGTTTATAGTGCAAATTCCTTGTTTAGAAGACCACCGACCATTCTACCAAATAAAGGCACTTGGGTTCCTCAATGCGCTATGTTATCTACCCTAAGCTTGGCTTGATCATATTGCTTATATGCTGCTATTACTTGGTAATGCAGTAATCTCATTTTGCATTCTAGAACGCTCAAGACTAGCTCTTCAAGGTTAATCCAATTTTTAGGAGCACTAAGTCTAGACTATTGATCGTCAAATGTATTGACTTAGGTCAACATGAAACTGTTATAACTTTAGTGCTCTAATCTTAACTTAGTTCACTAAGGCATGAGGAATATAATCCTGTCAATCACCTAAAGCATAAACTACATAATCTAAACAATTCATCAAGTTCAACAAGGAGATAACATCTATCGTTCACCCGATACACAAATCACAACATTTCATTCTCCTTTTTAGCACGGTGGAAAGCATGGACTATAAATATATATATATATATTTGAGTTTTGGTTGAAATGAAAAAAAGAAAGGGATAAGTTTTTGTTTGGTGTAGATGGGTTTTGAAGTTTAGATTCTTTGATTCCCTCATCCTTTGAAAAGAACAAAAAGAATCTATGAACCACACGCCACACACTCGAGAAAAAGAGGAATGACCCATTTTCAATCAGGAAAACAATATCCATAATGGCAATCAAATTACTTTAAAAGCTCCTCATCCTTTCAAACAAAGTGATTCCATGATGGGTTTTGGTATATCAACAGCAACATAACAACAAACCTTACACTTTTTTCCCTTCTTTTCTCTGCTTTTAGCACTCCTCCCTTGCAACGCTGCATCTTTCTTTCCTGCTGCTTCTTTCTTTTTGGAGATTCTCTCATCCTTTCAAGTCAAAGATCAAAATTTTAAACAATGTAAAAGTTTGTATGAACGTAATATAATCGGGAAGCAATCGAATAGAAAGGAAAGAAAGAGTCACAGCTGATGAGCATATATTCCCTTCCAACATAGCCTTACCCCACTAATGTCTCCTGACAACATCGGACGGACATATAAACACGACCAAATCCCATTTTGTTCTTAACACAAACAGAATCATGCAGAATCATCACCACATCAACTTGGTTTTGTCTACTGATGCAAAGCCAAGGCTGAAATGGACTCCGGAGCTTCATCACAGATTTGAGGAGGCTGTGAATCATCTCGGTGGAGCACATAGTTCTGTTTTCTCTTCTATTACATCTTCCTTCTTTTTCCTTTTCTTTGTGTTTCATTATTTTTTGTTGGTTTCTTGCAGAGGCCACTCCTAAGAGCTTGATGAGAGTTATGGGTATCACTGGGCTTAGGCTGTACCACCTCAAGAGCCATTTACAGGTTCTTCTTCTTTTCTATGCTATATCATATTATAAAAAAAGGCCCATTTGTTCTTGAAAGTTAATTATGTTTGTTTATGAGCCAGAAATTTAGATTGGGAAGAAGCCACAAGTCTGAAACCATTCCCCAACTCAAGCTGGAAGGTAAATTCTCAATACAATCAATCCATCACAAAACTCTTCATTAACAATCTCTCTCACTTTTAGTTACTTTTGTTCTTTGAAGACTTGAAACAGATGCAGATAAAAGGTGGGAAATTGGACGTGGAAAACAGCGATGTGGGTCAAAATCATAACACGAAAGAGTAAAAACCCCATCTCTGTTTTGAATTTGCCTTTTGTTGTGTAGACATTGCATTGTGTTAATATTGTTTGGATTAACAATTGAAGGAGAAAGAAGATATGGGATGTTATGGAAATGCAAATGGAAGTAGAGAAGAGGCTGCAGGAGCAAATAGAAGTACAAAGGCATTTGCAGCTGAGAATTGAAGCACAAGGGAAGTACTTAAAGAGGGTGTTGAGGAAGGCAGAAGAGACAATTGCAGGGTACGGATGTTGTTCAGAAGCACTGGAAGAGCTCTCTCAATTGGCTTCAATGGTGAGCTCTGGATGTGAGAGCTCATGTTTGTCAGAACAGAGCAGCTCTGTTTCTGAGGGAGATTGTAAGAGATTAACAATGCAAAAAAGTTATGAGAATAATCAAGAGGAATTCAGAATGATCGACTTGAATGATGCAGCAACTGGAAGTGGAAGTGGAATTGGATCAGAGTTGATTGAGTTTCTTTGAAAAGGTGGTTTTATTTTATGATGGGAATGTGTAAATGGTAGTGTTGTATATAAGGCATGTTTGATTTGGTAAGTAAGATTTGAAGGCAAACCCAATGTTAAATAGAAGAGGTTGTGGGTTTATAAGCAAGCTAAAGCCATGCAAAGGTGAATTTAGAACCACAAGAATCATTCTTCTACTCTACCAGTTATTCCCTTATGTTGTGAATTTATGCTTCTTAACCAATGTCCAATTGAAGAAGAAGACTAATGCAATCGGCCCATTACTTGGGTAAGATCATACTTTCATAATAATAGTGTAGTACAGACATTAATGGAATACAAAGAAGACACAAGATGTCAATATAAAATACTTGATCTATATTGATCCAGCACTGCCCCCAAGGGTTACATGGATGAACTCTTCTTCTTGGTGATGAACGGTTACTAAGCTTTCCTACTCTTTTCAGCTTTTTGGCTCCAATAAACCTAACTTAATAGAATAACTTAGGAGTAACTTTAACAGAATTGTTATTAGGGGTCAAAATGTGGACCAAGTTTGAGTGCTTTAATTAGAAAAATTGTTAGTGGTTTTTAACTTGAAGAGAAAGTTTAGGAAACTAGTTAGTGTTTTCTCCACTATAAATACTCATTTGATGTATGCTTTTTCCACCCCAACAAAGAATAAGTGCTTAAGGTTCTTTTTATTCAAAAGATTTGTCCCCTCAAGTTGTTCTTTCTTCTTCAGTGGTTTGTTTTTATATATTTCGATCTTGGACTACATCCAACTTTTGCTATCAAAGCTAGGATGCCAACACAAATGTCAGAACCACACGAAGTTGTCGGAGGAGATATGCCAACGTTAAAGAGTGGAAAGAAGGGGAGTGTAACACTCCAGTACTTGTTACTCACGAAGAGTAACTACGCAACATGGTCGATAAAGATGCATGTTAACCTATAGGCACAAGGCGTGTGGGACGCCATCGAACATGGTGACATTGAGGAGCACAAGGACAGGATGGCTCTTGTCGCCATCTACCAAGCAATCTCGAAGGACGTTCTTCTCATGTTGGTAGAGAAGGACTCGGCAAAGACAGCGTAGGAGGCGCTGCAAACATTGCATGGGATGAATTTGACCCATGATCGAAATATATCGAAACAAGGGAAAGAAGCAAAGGAAAAGCTTGAGGGGGAAGAACTTTTGGAACAAAGAAACTTTAAGCCCTTGGCTCTTTAATTCTCTTTGTTGTGGTGAAATGAGCATACATCTCATGAGTATTAATAGAGAAGAAAGTACAAACTAGCTTCCTAAACTTTCTCTTCAAGTTAAGAATCGCTAACAATCTTCCTAATTAAAGCACTAAACTTGGTCCACAATTTGGCAACTACTACCAATTCTTCTATAGTTGCTCCATAAGTTAGTAACTTATTCTACTAAGTCTATTAAACTTACTCCATAAATTAGCAACTTATTCTACTAAGCCAAGTTTATTAGCTCACAATCTCCTCTGTAAACTTGACTTTTTTTGAGATTCTTCACTCTTAGTAATTATCGCATCTCCGCAAACTTAACCCTTGTTAGGGCCTTGGTTAGAATATCAGCACGTTGCCCTCTAGTGCATACAAATTCCACAACGATTTATCACTTCTCGACACACTCAAAAATGAAGTGGAAGCGAGTATTTTAATGTGTTTGCTTCGTCCATGAAATATCAGATTCTTCATCAATGCAATCGCAGATCTGTGGTCGACGTAGAGAGTTACCGGCTTTAGTTCACTTCTAGTCACTTCGCTCAACAAATTTCTCAGCCACAATGCTTAAACGATGTCGCAGTTGCTACCAGGAACTCTGCGGCACAAGAAGATAGTGCCACAATTCGCTGCTTCTAAGATTGTCAAGATATCAAATTTCTGTTGAGATAAAAAGTCATTCTTGCAGTACTTTTTTTATCATCAATGTCTCTAGCTAAATCATTATTGGTAAAATCGACTCGTTCTTCAGGACATCGCTCTCTTTGATACTTCAGCCCGCTTGTTGTTTCCTTCACATAGCAGAAAATGTGTTTAACCGCTTGATGATGCATCGTAGTAGGCTTTTCCATGTACCTACTCACTATTCCAACATATGAAGGGTCTATTCTTGCCCTTCAACTCAACATAGGTGGAAGGTCCATCACTTGGATGTCAAATCAACATTCCTAAATGGTGACCTCTATGAAGAAGTGTATGTTACCAAACCGGAAGGGTTCGTCATCAAAACCAAAGAGTACAAAGTATACAAGTTGAAATACCCTTTACAGTTTACGACAAGCACCAAGGGCGTGGAACATACGTTTAGACAAGAGCTTAAAAATTCTAAACTTCATGAAGTGCTTGCAAGAACAAGTAGTGCATATAAGAAACAATGGAGTTGAAACATTCATAATTGATGTGTACGTTGATGACCTAATGGTCACTAGTACAAGTGTGGAAGGCTTCAAAGAGTTCATGCAACAATGATGAAAGATTTTGATGACTGATTTTGGGTTATTTACCTCAGTATTAAAGTGGACCAAAGGAAATATTGCATCATGTTAAAGCAATCAACCTATGCTAATAAGTTGTTGTTGCAATTTAAGATGACAGAGTGCAACCCGACCAAGTATCCCATGGAAACAAAGTTAAAAATTGGGGAAGATGTTGAAGGAAGCTTAGTGAATTCCACTGAGTATAGGCACATCATCGAAAGTCTAAGGTACTTGACTCATCGAACCTTTTATATGTTTTTGAAATGGTGAGTAGGTACATGGAAAAGTCTACTATGATGCATCATCAAACGGTTAAGTACATTCTCCACTCTTAAAAGGAATCTACAAGCTATGGGCTAAAATAACAAAGAGGGTGAAGTTCTGAAGATCTAGTTAGTTTTACAGATATTGATTTAGATGGAAACACCGATGATAGAAAAAACACTGCAAGAATGATGTTTTATCTCTATGGAAATTTAATCTCTTGGCATTCTCAAAAGTAGTGAATTGTTGCACTATCTTCCTATGAGGCCAAGTTCATGATAGCAACTGCGGCATCATACTAAGCTTGTAGTTGAGAATTTTTTTTTTGCGAATTAACTAAAAGTGAACTAAAGCCAATAACTCTCTCTGTCGACAACAAATCTACGATTGCACTGATGAAGAATTCAGTATTTCATGAACATAGCAAACACATTGAAAATTGCTTCCACTTCATCCATGAGTGTGTTGTGAAGAGACAAATCATTGTGGAGTTCATATGCACTAGAGAACAACATGCAAATATTTTAATCAAGACCCTACAAAGGGTTAACTTTGCTAGGGTGCAAGATTTGCTGGGAGTGAAGAATCTCGAACAAAGTCAAATTTATGGTATAGATTTGTGTGCCAATAAACTTAACTTGGTAGAATCAGTTACTAAGTTATGGAGCAACTTTAGAAAAATTGTTAGTAGACTTAATAGAATACGTTACTAACTTGCAACTTTAGATGAATTGTTAGTAGTTGCCAAATTGTGGACCAAGTTTTAGTGCTTTAGTTAGGAAGATGTTAGTAGTTTTTAACTTGAGGAGAAAGTTAGAAAACTAGTTAGTGCTTTCTCTAATATAAATACTCATTAGATGTATGCTCTTTTCATAACAAAGAGAAATAAGCAAAAGGCTTAAGGGTCTTCTATTCAGAATTCTTTCCTTAAGTGTTTAGAAAACTTGTTTCGACATATTTCGATCTTGGGATACATCTAACACCTTTCGGTTCATCATCTCCATCTAATATTAACACAACTACTTGATCCTCTCACAGAAAATCGCTTCCCGGGAACCTACTTGATCCTCTCACAGAAAATCGCTTCCGGGGAACCTGATCTAGTGGAAGGAAAATGTTTGTCAAAGAGTGGGCAAGAAGACTCTCCAACGGAATAACTCCCTTCGCCCTTTATGCTCCTTCAATGGTTGTCTAGGCATGCAAAATTAATACCTATTATCCTACTCAATTAGTAAAGCTAGGTTGAATTCCAAGGAAACTAGCCAATTAACGTTATACTCTTAGATGAGATTCTAAGATGCATTTTGTTTTTATACTTTGTAGGATAGAACGAAAACGAAAAAATGCATGACTAGAATACGAGCTGACCAATTCCAACAAGTAAGAAATTACCAAATTTTCCTAGGTTGAGATTTTGAGAGGTATGTTATAAATGTTTTTTGTTGTGATAGAAAGGAGGATGAGCTATTGTAATATATGCTCCGGGTGATTGATGGATGTTATCTCCCAATTAAGCTTGCACGAAAGTTTAAACTATGTATAGCATGTTTTAGGAGACCATTGGATTATTTGTAAGGACCGAGCTGACTGGATGACTCCAAAAAGGAGTAAATTTTTTCGCAAAATAAAACAGAGGGTATTTAAAGCCTAACATTAATTAAAAAAAATAGTGTTCATACATGAGTAATTAAAACACGATACAACAGTTAAAACACAAAATAAGGAATAGACACAAAAAATTAAAAAAAAAAAGGTTGAGGAAGATGGGTGAGGATTGTCTATGGGACCTGCTCTAGAGTCTGCTCTTGACTTCGACCAACTCCTTATTACCTAAAAAAAATGGAGAACAAGGAATGAGTATAAAGACTCAATAAGTAGTCTTTTTGTAGGCTCTTAATCATGTCCTTGATATGCTAGGGTACCACACTCTTTCTTGTCTTGTTCTGGTTCTTGTTGTAAGTACTTAGGCCCTCTAGTTCTTGTTCTTGACTTATGGGTTCTTATCATGATCTATCTTGAGAACCTTGGTCCCTGGATTCTGAAACCTTTGTTATTCTCCAAGAGTCTTAGTACTATGGTTCTTGTTTTTTTTTTTTTTTTTTTTTTCTTTTCCTTAGGACTTTGATCTTGATCCATGTTCTAGTCCTTGATCTTTATCCTGTTCTTAGTACTTTCTAGGTTCTTGTTTTGTTCTTGATTTGTTCTTCAAGACACTCCCCCTAGGATTTACGGTATCAGTCATGAACCTGACAACTTGTGTCCAAGGCTTCATGCGTTCCAAGCGACACAGTCTTAACCTATGTCCAAGGCTTCATGCATTCCAAGTAACATGGTCTAAACCGACACCTTAGGGCTTGCCCTTCGATACCATCTGAAAACCTATGCCCGAAGTTTCATGTGTTCCAAGCAGCATAGTCTGAAAACTCGCATCCCAAGCTTCTTACTTCTTACATTCCAAGTGATATAGTCTAATCCTGCATCTTGGGCTTGCCTTGTGATACAGCTTGAATACCTATGCCCAAGGCTTCATACGTTCCAAGCAGCATAGTCTGAATACCTACGGTTAAGGCTTCATGTGTTCCAAGCAGCATAGTCTAAGTCATGAGCATGCTAGACTATGAGAGGTCTTAGGAGGTTCTTAATTCGTGGATAAGGTAGCTTACTCTCTTCTTGTTCCATCGTCGCCCTAGACTACTCCCCATGATAGACTATAGAGGTCATTTGATCGGTGCATACATCGAACATGGCATCCTACGAATCTTTGGGTACCCATAACATGGTGCAGCGCATCTCATCTAGGTAAGGGAAACATGAGGCCAAACATGACATCCTGCAAAGAGAACATGGTACAGAGCATTCCACCTAGAAGAGGAAATATGGGCCTCTTAAAGCATCGGGTGGTGGGAGGTCATGGGTCACTTTGGGCATGATTAGAGTATTACATAGCATTCTTGAATTTCTGTGTCTATGGACCTTGATCCCTTATCCTTGAGTGGTATCTAGCATTCTTCCTACTTTGGTAGTTGTAGAGCTTGTGTGGTATTCTTCTTGGTTCTCAATCTTGTAAGTTTCTATGGTTTATAATTTCTTGAGGCATAAGTTGTAACATGCATATACGAACCCATCATAATAACAAGCATGAGTTATTCTAGAAAGTCATAGGGTCATCATAAGTTCTTTAGAGAGTTCTAGAAGGGTTTTGTGTGTTGAGGTGTTTCCTTCAGGCATTTCTTATGTTCTATCTTGGTTTAGGTTACAAACTTGCTCCAATCAACTTGAAATCTTGAACTTATCCTCATACCTTTAGAATAGTAGAAAATAGTAGGTAATTTGGAGCACATCTAGACCTTGAAATATCAGAAGTAGTCCTAGGGTCATTTTGGTCATTTTACCCCTAATTCTTGGTTTTGCTACTTAACATGTTCCAAAAACTTTCAAACTTCAACATTAGCAAACATCATAAGATAACCTTCACAACATTTACAAATGGCTTTCAAACTTCACTGTATGAGGCTAGAGGGAGTGAGTTTCAGATATCTTGCAAGGCCAAGTCGTGCTTCTTCACTATTCTAAGGAAGAAGATGATGATGTGGCTAGCCATGTCAATCCAAAATTGACCCTCTCTTAGTTTTTATTTTTATCAAATTGAACTTCTTCCAGATCAACTCTCAAGAAATTCTTGATTGTTCTAGAAACTAGACTCAAAGATAAACTTACCAAAGAAAATTTGGTGCAATTTAGATACTGAAAACTCGAGAACTAAGGACCTAAGTGTCAATGATGAGGTAAGTAGATTATCTAGACTTTTATTAAACAATACTCGTAAGAATAGCTTAGATTTTATTATGAACCTTAAGTCAAGTAAGATTTAAAGGATTATGGAAAAATCAATCAAAGAACCACGTGTTAAGAACCTAGCGTTTTCCTCGAAAATCATGTAACAATAAAATGACCAATTAAATAGATTTTGGTGCTCATGAAATTTTAATGCTAGGCACAATATGATAGGTTAAAGATAGCTAAACCAAGTAATAGTACAAAATGACCATAATTCTCATAAGATAACTTACTTTTGATTCATAATCCAAACGATCTCCAAATATCATGAAACTTTATGAGAAACTTTATTTCATGATGTCCAAAGATTATGTAAAGTTTTAGAATTATTGGATCATGTTTGGGACTCAAATCAAGTTTGAGATAAATTATCAAAATGCATCCAAGGTTCCTTCAAAATATTTCAAGGTAAAAAAATCCTTCAAATGATTCAAGATTTTAAGAAAGTGTAACGACCTAGACTTTCCATACACGTATTAGTTGTTACTTAAAAACAAGACTTTTTTTATATCTTTAAAACATGTATAAAGATGCTAAAAGATAATTTAGTGAAATCATGTAGGGTACCCTTTCTAAGAAACTTCCTAATTCTTATAAATCGGGAGTTCTCGAATATAAATTAAACAAATTGAAAAACAAAAGGCGAAAACGTCCTTAAAATCAAATAATAAAAATTTCAAAGTTGCTCCATGATCGATATTCACCCTGCCTCTCATTCTCGTACCATGAACTTATCATTTTAAAAAATAGGATTAGTATTAAAAATATTCAATAAGGAACTCTCCCATCTGATTAGATACGTAAACTATTATATGGTTAATCAATCAAAATCATGGGACCTCAATGGATAGTTCCTCATAGCAAAACATGATTTTCATCACTCCTGGATGACAATAGTAATAATTATGAACAACCAACATATAATTAAGGCCAATTAATTATAATCACCTAAAGGTGGCTATAGTAGTGATCGTGAATAAAGAACGTCCAACCACCACCAATTAGTCATAATCACCCAAAGGTAACTATGACGGTAATCGCTAAATAACCAACCTACAATTACCATAAATTAGTTATCACTACCTAAAGGGGGCTATAGTGGTGATAGTTGAATAATTAACATCCAACCACCCTCAATTAGTCCTCGCAACTTAAAAGTGCTTAGTGCTTATGACACCAATTACGAAATACCATCATATAGCAAAAACCAAATCATGAATAAAAACATGTTCCACAACACTTCATATCACATACATACATGTTGCTTACAAGTGCATGCATATCCAACCCTTTAAAAACAAAAACTTGATCCAACAGGAAGGTCCCTTACCTCGACCTACTGTGCAAGCAATTTCTCCCACATACGAGCTTTCCCTTACTCTAGCAGTGAGACAATGTTTCTATCAAGACATCTTAACCTTAGTTGCATTCATCACAAAATGAATGATCCCAAAGTACTAGTTGGAACTTGGTTACTTACTTTCCTTAAATGAGGCAAGGTTGAAATCAATATTCGCAACAATATTATTTGGCAAACGTTATTTGTTGTAATTTTGTAATTTTCATTTTGACACCATTGATGTCCAAAGATTTTGTAAGTAATGGCAGCATTTTATTATTTAAAATTAGAATCCACCAAGAATTATCCAATCTAGCAAAACCCTTACCTCTCCCTTGAATACGTTAGCTTTGACGAGGACAAATACGTTGGTGGTGATGTGGGCAAAGATGATAGCGGCGATGCATGCGTGTGATCACAGCGTGTCGCCCGACAGTGAAAAGTAGCACTACTGCGATTTAGTGCACATGATTTTGACGATAGAAGGTTGCAATGTCGAACAGGCGGCGACTGAGGTTGGCATGCCGCTGGGCTGCAATGTGCGACATGCAGCTGGTGATGGTTGAAAACAATGCAAGTGATCGCATGGAGAAGAGAAGGAAGGAGAAAAAGAGAGGTGGGCGACAACTAGGGGTTAGGAGCGGCTGGCTTTCATCAAGCTTCGTGCAATATGAGAGGTGGCAGCTGGCTATTAGGGCTTGGCTATTTATAGGTGAGCTCTAGGAATTTTTTTTTTTTTTTTTTTTTTTTTTGCAGCTTTATAGAAAGGCACATGTGTGAGGACATGAAATTTTACCTAAGATTTCAAAGATGCTTAGATGAAGTTTAGAACATAAACTAAGTTTGGGTATAATTCAAGATTAAAAATAAATGAAGAAACTACCCTTAAAGATCCTTAAGGATTAACTTTAAGAATTATTCTATTGCTTAGAATGAAACATGACTTAGGCTCACTTTAAGGCCTTTTAAAATCATGATCATTGTGTATTATAAGTTTCATGTTACGCTTAGGTTTAACTTTTGATTTTTAATTAATCGACAAGTTGTCCTAAGTTAAGATGGGCTCTAAGTTTTTCTTTGATTTTTTTAAGTAATCAGAATGCTACCTCAAGATAAGGTTTAGGATAATCATTGATTTCCAAGTAATCGAGAGGCTACCCTAACCAGAGATGATCAGCTCAAGATTAACACTTAGTTTTTTAAAAAATACATTATGCTACTTCATGATAAGCTTTAGGATGGTTCTTGATGTTTAAGTAATCAGGCTGCTATTCTAAATTAACATGTTCTAGGTTGGCTCTTGATTTTTAAGTAATCAAGATGCTACCCATGATAAGGGCTAGGATAACCCTTAATTTTTTAAGCAATCAAGTTGCTATCCTCAAGAACTAGAATATGATCAAGTTAGATATAAAGACTAGTAGGTATAATTCAAGAACCAAGCATTAAGGACAAGAACCAACAACAAAAACTAAGAACCAACCTCAAGAACTAGAATATGATCAAGTTTCAAGTTCTTAGAACTAAGGTCCTTAGATAAGAACATAAGTTAGAAGTTAGAATCCATGACTAAGGCCCTTGAGTTAGACCATGACAAGAACTCAAGAACAAAACCTAAGAGCTTAAGTTCACAAGTCAAGAACAATAACACTATAACAACTCATGCCCAAAATTGAACTAGGATTTAGAATATGGATTTATTACCAAATGGCCCTGACATTCTCTTGCATCCCGTACGTCATGGTCATGTTACTTACCCCTCTCTTCTAAGAGTGAAGACGACCTCACTTACATGCATCCTTGAAAAATTTCTAAGAGGCTATTCAACATAGAATTGATCCAAACAAAGCACACTTAACTATGGAGTTCCATGATTAAGCCACCAAAAAAGAATGTGCACCTTATTTGTATAGGTAGTGACTTTTAATTCTTTTAAAGTTTTCTTAATCATCATATCACGACCTGATTTTCAAGGCTTCGAAAACTGATAAAAGATTAAAAAGATGAAAGTGAAAATAAATAAATTTAAAAGAAAAGTAAAATACTTGTTAAAAATCTAATAAAAGTTAAAACAAACAAAAAAAAAAGAAAAAAAAAAAGTCAACAACACAAAAATTAAATACAAGATTGAATCCAAATATAAGAAGACATTGTACATCATTTTACAAACGAAAAAATACTAATATAAAAGAAAATACAAAAGACTCCAAATGTGAAAACAAACTGATGCTCGGGAACAATATCCTTCTGTTATAGTGCAGCTCCCAAGCAACTCTCCACCTTGACTAGTAACTGAAAAAGGGGTGAGTATAAAAATATACTAAAAAAGCAATCTAATTGTAGGCTCTCATCGCTTCCTTCTCCTAGTAGATTCACATCTGTAAGCTTTCCTTTGGTCTATACGATGTTCCAATTGATTCCTCATTGATCATCTACCTGTGTAGTCCCTAGCCCTTTGTCGAGACTGGTTTATGGCATCTCGGAGTCGACCTTGACCCATTTTTACACTCAATAAAAGTTGTTCATGCTAAACCACTTACCCGCGTAGTCCATGATCACTGCCAAGACCGATTTACGAAGTTGCAGCGTCGGCCTCGACTCATTTCTATGCTCAATAGGAGTTGTTCATGGCACCTACCTGCGTAGTCTTTGATCTCTACCAAGACCGATTTACGAAGTCAAAGGGTTGGCCTTGAATCGTTTCTGTTGGGTTTTATGTCCTAAAACTCATAGTTTGTAAACAAAAACATATTCTATTTTCAATAAAGTTATTATTGTTGTTTATTCAATAAAGATTGTTATCGTTTCTGTTGGGTTTTATGTCCTAAAACTCATAGTTTGTAAACAAAAACATATTCTATTTTCAATAAAATTATTATTGTTGTTTATTCAATAAAGATTGTTATTGAATAAAGTGAACTTTACGATCATTAATCTAAATCCAATAAACTAAGAACACTTTGGCTATAGTATGATTACTTGAACTATATGTAGAGACATAAGAGTTGATCAAGTTCAAGTATATAGTCAAAATGATCATAGTATAAGGATAAGGTTGAGTACCTTATTCTGGAGACACTATGGATGCGGCCCACTTTTGTATATGATATAAACAATGTGATCACTAAAATTGTACATATGGAGACAAGTGAGTGGGGGCGTCCTATGCAATGAGTATTGCATAAGATCGGACCATGAAGAAAATCACTCTCACTTTATAATGTCGTTTACTGTTGAGACTGATTTTCTTTTCATTTGATGACCTCGGTAACTCGATCTTAATCCTGAGCTAACCATGAACTCCTGTTTATTTGGAATTATCCTTAGATTTGCATGGGTGAGAGTGGCTCAATTTCGCCGACTCAATAGGCCTCCCATTTCAGGGGTAAGACTGGGTAAATGGCTGGGGACGTGGGGTGCAAGATGGAATTCACTCCTACCCACTTTTAGGGATAGAAGAGAGGTAGTTCCCTTAATTACTGACTCCAGGTCTTGAACAAGGGGCCCCACCCTCTCATTGGCCTGAGAGGGATTTGGTTTACTGGTTGGACCACAAATCAATTGTTCATTAGAGGATCAGTGACACATAAGAAACAAGAAGTAACTTCAGGGGTAAAATGGTAAATTGACCCAGCTCTAGTTACGAACAACCTGTGAAGGATCGACTTACTAATCATGGTTATATCAAATGGACAGAAATATATCTATAGTGAGGGGAGTGCAACTACTAGGCTATAGTGGAATGTCCTAGTAGTTAACGAATGTTGGTTAACAAGGTTAATGAGTTTAACTGGTTAATCTTGGATCGTTGGAGCCCATGATCTATAGATCCATTTGGTCCCTCTGCTAGCTCATATCGGACTAAACCATAGAATAGTGTGATGAGTGAGTTCGAAGTGTTCTAATTCAAATTATGGAGAATGCGCTACATATATAGGATATATTTAACGCATTTTTGTTTTATTTACGAATTAAACAAAAAGGGAGAATCTGAGATATTTAAATAAGCTTAATCAAATATATGTCGAAATTAATTGGGATTGACATTTGAATTAATATTAAATATTAATTAAATAGTTTAATTAATTATTTAATATTATTTTAATTTGAAATTAATAATTCAAATGGATGGTTGAATCAAAATGAATAAAGTCAAAATGTTGACTTCATTTAATGGAAAAATCCATGTTAGTAGAGTTTTGAGGTATCAAAATTTGGTTTAACAAAAATGGCATGTTTGCCAAATAAACCCCACAAATTTGAATGGAATTTTGAGTGTCAAAATTTGGTTAACTAAAGCATGTATGTTTGCCACATAATCCCAAACATTTGAGTGGAATTTTGAGTGTCAAAATTTGGTGATCTCAAATTTGCATGAACATGCAAACATGACTATAAATAGAGTGATCATAATACATGAAAGGTCTTTTTGTTGGAGAAAAACCTTGAGAAAAACCTCTCACAAACACTCTCTTCATATATACAAAATCCCTCCCAAGTTTAGTCACTCACCGATTCCACAATCCCTCTAAGGCCGGAGGATAGTGGAGAAGACACTAGTGGTGGTTCGAAACTGGTTTGTGAGGAAACAAGAATTTGAACTACAAAAGGTTAGTATTCAAACTCATTAAGTTTTAATACTTATGAACATGCTAGTTATTTACTATAATTGATGTTCTAAAAGTGCCTAAGATCCAAATTGCTTCTACATGTGTTATATTAACACCATCAGTTTCTATGCTCAATAGGAGCTATTCATGCTAAACCACCTACCCATGTAGTCCCTGATCTCTACCAAGATAGATTTACGAAATCGCAGCATCGACCTTGACTTATTTCTACGCTCAATAAGGGCTCTCATCTTGACACCCTATTCGTGTAGTCTCTAGTCCATCAAGGATTGGTTTATAGGTTCGCCTGTTTCTACACTTAATAAGGGTCCATGTCCTGAGCTAACTACCCATGTAGTCCCTAGTTCTTCTCAAGAACTGGTTTAACAAGATTAGAGCATCGACCAAGTCCCAACTCTACACTCATTAGTAACTCAACTAGTTTCGTGATTTTGTAAGAGACTTCAATCATGTTAATACACCATGGAGGTCTACTATGTTCTTAGGGGCATTCATGCGGTTTAAATTCCATTTTCATAGTTTCAGGACATTCTATGTTAGCCTCTTGGCTTAACCAATCCCTAGGTGCACATAGGTTTAACCTCTGGTTCTACATGTAAACCGCACTAGCTATAGCGCCCTAATCTTAACTGTGATCTTGATGCATGCTCTACTAGAAAAAATACACCTATCAACCATCTCAAACACATAAATTATGTCTTCTCGTTCACATATGTTATTTAAAAAGGTATTCCTACCGAACCTTATTGCATGAAAATCATAACATAAATCACACACAATCAAACAATCAAACAATCAAACAAGCTCAACGGAGAGATAACATCCATCAATTACCCGAAGCACAGATTAGAATCTCCCTTCCTCCATCATACCACAGCCGAAGACATTAAATTAGGCATGCTTCTCAATTCTCTTGTTACAAGGGAAATTTCATAATTTTATCATGTACGTGTCATAATTATCCGAATTGTTCATTATATGATCTAATCATACATATTTTAGCCACCTAAGGTACATAATACTCGCATGCTAGCTTGTCCTAGCAATCCCTACAAGTATCACATGCCTAAAGTCTAGGTGGTAACTTACTGAAATGGAGCGTGCCCTTTGAAGCTTGCTTTTCCGCTAGTTGGAAGCTCCAAATTTCTCGAAAGCTCGTTGATATGTTGTGCCTATTCACATGCCTCAAGCACCAGATTAAGCCTCTACGCGCACAGTCATGCGCACGTATGGACGCGCTTGAGGAAGTGAACGCGCGCTCTCATTCTACTACGTGGTGAGAGTGGGTTGGACCATTCGAGATTGGGTGCGTAGGTTCGAATCAGGGTGCCTGTGGATTCCTTTGATTTTTCTCAGCGCGACATGCGACGATAAGTGGTTAGGCATCAAATCAATTCAGTAGTTTGGGTCATGTGCGCGTTCTTGGGTCTGGTAGCTGGCGCTGATCTTCGAATCCCGCCCGACATAGGATTTTTTTGTGATTTTCCTCTACCAATGCACACGTGACACACATTCTTTCTTTCTGTCAGCGTCCGACCCTCCTCCTGCCTAACACATGTTGCTCCACCGTTTGTCTTCTTTCTCTTTAATGATCCTTTGGTGAAGGTCGAAACTCCTATTTTTGATCTGAATCGATCATGACTCCCTTCACAGATTATGAGCGCAATCCTCCCTTCGAGTTTTCTTTGTTCCTTGAAGTTTTTGGACGATTAAAAGGGCCTGAATGCTTCTATAGGTTTTGCGAAGGATTTGTGAAGAAATCTTAAACGGAATTAGACTCCTGGCTACCGGATCGAAATTGTGGTTCTTACTTCTCCTCCTCTCTAACTTTCTTTCTCTCTCTATTTTATTGTCTTTTCTTTTCTTTTCTTTTCTTTCCTGTTTTTTCTTTTATTTATTTGTTACTAACTTCCATTTCACCAGCGAGAAAGAGGATTAAATGACCAAATTACATCTATCAATAAAATTTCCAAAGTTCAACTTTAATGAAAAAAGTTAGGTTTTAAGTTTCTCGTTAGGGTTCGAGTGTTACATATCCTATTCTCAGAATAGCTCTTATTTAGATGTGATCTCAATTCATTCATATACATCTTCTTTACATGTCCACTAGCTTCACCTTGGTTCTTCCCCGAATTAAAACTTAGTGGAAGAGGTATCGCTCTGATATCGATGTAACAAAAAAAAATTAGAGAAAAAAATAAATGAATAACTAAATAATAAATAAAAATAAGAAAGGTTGTCCCACACGGTTAGGTTGAGTAAGTCGAGAGTTGGACTCCGATATAAAAAGGGAAGTCCCTTGGTTTACTATGTCACAACAATTGTACCATTTCATCCCACTTCGAGAGTTTGAAGTCAACCAAAGAATACATTTTCTAACGACTTCAACTTGACTTATCAGTTGATCTGGCTAGGGTTTGATACGCTCGGACCCTTTTCTACAACGTACCATTTAAATCGGCTACGAGAATCATTCTCACCCATGTAAAGTAAAGGACAAGTTCTCACAATCAGAATTTCATAACTCACTCCCTAATTAAAATCGAATCACATATGATCATCATGAGAAATATTAATCTTCTCAATTAATGGATTATAAAAAGAGATTAAATATTTTTTTGATCGAGTCTTATACAAACTCATTATATAACATACCTCCATTCACATGTCTCCCCATGAAAATTTTGATCAAATCATTTGTAATAATTACCACATGGGTCACATTAATAGTTTTATGAGGATAAATCAAGCCAAACTTATCCATATATCATAGACTAAGTTATTACTTGAACATAATTCTCTTTATGTCAACAACATACTAATTACATTAATAACTTTCGATTTCCATATAATAGATAATACTAAATTCTAAATAAAATAATCAAAATTATTATTAAAAATTAAATAATTAATTAGGAGGTTTTAGGCATATAACCTAACGGTTCACCACTTGAGGTCAAGCTCCCAAGCAACCACAACATTTACTCATTGTGCTGCCAACCAAAGTTTGGAAGCTTGTACACAGCCACATTGACACTACACTTCAACCAATTTCTCAATTAGTCACCTTCATGTGCCATGTTGCCTTGAGGTCAGGCTCATAAGCCAACCACGATATTTACTCATCGTGCCACCAACCCATACGATAGCAAAGTCTGGAAGCTTGTACATAGCCATGTTGGCACTACACTTCAACCAATTTCTCAATTGGTCACCTTCATGTGCCACTCTACCTTGACACATTATCTTTCAAAAGTAGACATGAATTTGGCAAACGATCATACGATCTCGTGAAGCATCTGTTTGATATTCAATTGACACCAAATTTGGCGAACATTTATATTTCTTATGGATGGACTTTACTCTATAGGCACATGCCTGAATTTCCTCTAAAACCTCAACTTTTGAGGTTAAGGCCTGGAGCCCTACTCGACTCTTTATCAAGTCTATCATTGTCTTCTTGTCTACTCATTGCTTCTATCTTACTTTGCCTCATCTTAACTTCCATGTACATCTCTTTTGTGTGTTAGACTATGTACTGTCCTCCTTGGTTTGTTTTGGCTCTCATGTGGCTGATGGGCACAACTTGAGGGTTGTCAATTTTCTTGTCTTGATGTGAGGATCACAACCTAATTTCTTCATAATATGGTTGTAACATTCTCCCCACTTAAACTAGTTATCGTCCTCAATGACTTTTATGGAGGGCACAATCGCTCAATAGATTGTGAACTCTCCCACACTCAATCTTGACATTGTCCACAATGATGATTTGATCTTCAAACTAGTTGTTAATGTACCTACTAGAAATATGCGCTTTAGAACGAATACGGAAACTACACACTACTTATGAGTTATCTCACTGATGGACTTTCCTTTGGTCTACGGAACTCACAACATAAGCATTGGAAAACAACTGCCCAATAGTTATGGTCTATCCCATCAAGGGCCTCCCTCACCCTTCTCATGGACTCAGCCACCCTTCTCATGGACTCAGCTTGAGAGACACTAGAAAAACCACGGAAAACTGGCTAGCATTGGCGTATCCTCAACTAAGCTGGGAGGAGCACGCCCCAAAGGCCACCCTTTCCCAACACTTGCATTCTATGAGTTGCACATAATAGTGTACCTCTTGGATGTTGTGCGCCGAAAGTGGAACAAAGGTACTCACAACACCAATGAACGATTTTACACAATGAGGCACTAATATATTTACGTGGTTCGGAGAGAAGTTCCCCTACATCCACGAACCAATCACTAATAAACCAAAGCATTACAAGTGAATATCTCACTATCACACTACAAAGACTCAGAACACATGTCACTCAACAAATACAATGTGACTCCGAAAGCTCTCCCAAATTCCGATACCAAATTCTGATATCAAATCCCAATATATAACTAAACCTTGGTGTGACTAAATCTAATTCAAATAACCAAATCAAATCTAATTCAAATAACCAAATCAAATCTAATTCAAATAACCAAATCAAATATAATCCAAAAACCAAATCAAATCTAATTCAAATAACCAAATCAAATATAATCCAAAAACCAAATCAAATCTAATTCAAATAACCAAATCAAATATAATCCAAAAACCAAATCAAATCAAAACTTATGACAATTTACAACAATCTCCACCGTGTCATAAGATCTCCAAATCAAATCAAACTTAATGACAATTTACAACAATCTCCACCTTGTCATAAGATCTCCAAGTTGATAACTGAGTTGGTTGCTACCACCTCAAGCCTCAATACGTAAGTTGGGAACTCCATCAATTATAGAGAAAGCATATGCTATCGTATCATCAAACCTTGCAGGTTTTCGAATTACCCTTCGTGGTCTATTCTTGGCGATAGACTCAGGTTCCTCCACTCTTTCATTTACAAGGCTTTGCTCCTCCAGACTTTGCTCTTTCTGTTCTAAGACATCAAAGTTATTATTTACCTGGTCAATAGGTTCTTCAGTAGGAGCAACCACATCAGGAGAGAACACCACCTTCTCCACCTGCTTCAATGCCTCGTCATTATTTTCAATTTTCTCAAGCGGAGTTCTCCCACCGTTTCCAGAAACAGGTAAACGATTCACCAAGTGAACTGCATAACTGAGAGCCTCAGCCCAAAATGCCTTACTCAATCCTGCTTGAGACAATATGCATCGAACCTTCTCTATTAATGTCTGGTTCATTCTCTCAGCAACTCCATTTTGTTGTGGCTTACCAGGAACAGTGAAGTGTCGAACGATCCCTTCATCTCGGCATACTTTAAGGAATGGATCATAAGTATATTCTCCCCCGTTGTCTGATCTCAGCCTTTTGATTTTCTTGTCCGTCTGATTCTCTACCATTTTCTTCCACTCTAGGAAGATTTGGAGAACCTCGTTTTTGTACCTCATGGGATACATCCAAACTCTCTTCGAGTAGTCATCAATAAAGGTGACGAACCACCTCTTTCCTCCCAATGAGACATTCTTTGTGGGACCCCATACATCAGTGTGAACATAATCCAAAATGCCCTTTGTTTGGTGTATAGCTGTACCAAACTTCACATTTTTTTGTTTGCCAAATATACAATGTTCACAAAAATCAATTCTTCCAGTTGTGGCACCCTTAAGAACTCCTTGGTTCACCAGTGTCTGAAGCGCCTTCTCACCAGCATGCCCGAGTCGCATGTGCCATAATTTCGATATGTCTTGTTCTTTCGAACTTGCCACAGCAGCATGCCCAATTATTGTGGTTCCGTTGAGGTAGTATATGCTACCTCTTCTAGTTCCTGTAATTGCCACCAAAGCTCCACGAGCTACTTTCAAATTCCCTCCTTCCAAAATGATGCGATAACCACTCGCATCCAAAACGCCAAGTGAAATCAAATTTTTCTTCAAGTCAGGGACATACCTCACATCTTTGAGTTTTCGTATAACCCCATCAAACATCTTGATTTGTACTGAGCCGATTCCCATTATCTTACAAGTACTATCATTTCCCATATAGACAACTCCACCATTGAACTCTTTGAAGTCCAAAAACATCTCTTTGTTGGGACACATATGATAGGAGCACCCAGAATCAAGAATCCATTCACTGGTTTGGCTGACTGATAGGGAGATTGTCAAGGCATCATCTGTATCAGTGTCGTCATCTCTAACCACATTGGACTTCGACCCCTTCTCTTTTAAGATCGAACAATCTTTTTTCCAATGGCCTTTCTGTCGACAATATGCACACTCATTTTTATCAAGTTTTCTCCAATTATCAGATCTACCTCTCGACTTTAATCGAGACTCTCCACATTCGTTCTTTTTCCAATTGGAAGTCCTTCCATGAGCAGTGAGAACATTTGAGCTAGAGCTTTGATACGTCTCCTTTTCCTTCTTTCGCATCTCATTGTTTATTAAGGCATTTGAAACATCTTCAAAATCAATATCAGTAATTCCATGTAGTAGGGTCGTTACTAAAAACTCGTAGGATTCCGGCAAAGAGTTTAATAACAACAACGCCTTGTCCTCGTCATCAATCTTAACATCAAGATTGAGCAAATCAGTGATGATTTTGTTAAAATCATCCAAATGCTCAGCCATTGAGATGCCTTCCTTGTAATCAAAACGGAAGAGTTTCTTCTTCAAATAGAGTTTATTTTCCACACTCTTCTTCATATATTTCGCTTCAAGCTTGTCCCATAATTCTTTCGCCATGGTAACCTTCATAAATGGATATTTCTGATCCTTGCCAAGACAGGATCGAATAATTCCACAGGCTTGCCGATTTAATTTCGTCCATTCTGCTTCTGTCATGTCTTCAGGCATTTTCTCTTGGAGAGAGACATCGAGGTCTTGCATGACCAACAAATCGCTAACTTCGCCTCGCCAAACACCAAAATTATTGGTTCCATCAAATTTCTCTACTTCGAGATTGGAACTCCACACTCTCGATCCACGTCGTGATGGTTCTGCCATTTGCAATAATTAATCTGGATGAAACTCAAAAACACAATTCTTGAAAATTGATTTTCAAGAGAATAAACACGATTGTGAGCACGTCTAATGGTCGATGAGGCCCAAGCTTTCACAATACCCCAAAATACCACAACTTGGCTCTGATACCACTTGTTGTGCGCCGAAAGCGGAACAAATGTACTCACAACACCAAATTTACTCAAGACATACAATATTGCACACAAAACTTGATGATTTCAACAGCAGAAAGAATGGCATTATATAGCCTTCTGCTAAACCTAAATATAAACTAACAAGCCTAAAAAATATTAGCAAGACCTTGAGAATAGGTCTTGGTCCTAGAGAATAGGGCTTATGACAGTGCTTAACAATCTCCACCTTGTCATAAGATTTCCAAGTTGATAGCGAATTTGGTTGCTACCACATCAACACACTACTCCTTCCTTCCGACGTTGATGAGATCCAAACAATGGCAGAACTTTTCACGAGCGATCACCTTTGTCAACATATCAGCAGGGTTATCAGCAGTTCCAATTTTTAGTAAACGAATATCCCCTTTGCTAATGATTTCTCGAATAAAGTGAAAACGGACATCAATGTGTTTTGTACGAGCATGATGGACTTGATTTTTTGACAAGCAAATAGCGCTCTGGCTATCACAAAATACATCTATATGTCCCTGCAAAATACCCAAGTCATTGATCAAACCATGCATCCAAATAGCTTCTTTAAAAGCTTCCGTTACCGCCATATACTCTGCTTCAGTGGTAGACAATGCAACAGTAGACTGCAATGTTGAGCGCCAACAAACAGGTCCACCAGCCATAGTAAATAAATAACCCGTGGTAGATC